CTCCGACGAGATGACCCGCCGGTCACCGGATGAGCACCGGGACCAGTTCCTGAAAGAAGGAAGTTGGTCCATGGGCATTCCCGTCCTGCTTCGCCGGATGTGGTTCAGTGCCCTGAAGGGAGAAGCACCGGATGTATACGAACTGCTCAGATCTTCCTTACACTCGTATGACAGAAAGGACAAATTACTCGGGTGGATCAAAACTGGTGGGTCCAGTCTGACTGGGAGATGGCTAATGAACCTCCTCAAAACAGTTCGTCGATGTTCGTCCTGCTTTTGACTGCCGACTGCTCCGTTGGACACCATAGAATACCTTCACCGAAGCCTTCACCTCTTGATTCGTCCCGTGTCCCGTGTTCCTTTGCCCCTCTTCCCCCCCCACCTTGTCCCCCTGTCCCGCTGTGCGGGAACTTCGGTGGCGCGCACGGACGGAAGTCCTTTCGGGCGAGGATGTTCGCACCTCGTCGTCAGAAGTCAAGAGCATGTTCTCCTGAAAGGGATAGGGTAAGTTTAAGGCAAATAGAAATAGACTTATCAAATCTTATCAACTTATCATTTCCGGTTGGATCAACTGATCAACTTCATAAAATACATCGCATTCTTGGCAAACACATAAACGTGCGTGTGAAACAAGGGCGCCGGCCACCGATTTGAGGGGGTCTAAGCTCCACAGCCACATCCAGTTCCGAGTTGGGTTAGTTGGACTGTTAGACCCAAGAAGTAAGTGGATGAGCAGGGCACCTGGAGGTAAGCAATTGAACATGGAACTGAGCAGGGCGCTGATACTTGCCGACTGACAATGTCTTCAGCTCAAAGAGTTGCAACCCAGGAGGGCACAACCTGTGAGTTCACTTCCGAAATCAGTGGACGCCTGGTTTTGTTCACTTTCCACAACCAAGCATTGATGGCCGGCCACGATAGCAAGAGGCCGGCCACGTGCACAACCATTTACTGTTGGAATCAAGAAACGGTTTCAGAGTAGATGGCGCAACCGAAACCACTGTTAAATTCTACACCGCCAACACTTGTGAACATTGTACATACACTCGTACACTCGTACGGCGGTGTTCCCCATCTCGTGTGGTCGCAGGTGGTGCAGGAACTATTCCATCAAGAGTAGTCGTGAACATATTGGACAATCTAACTTCAACTTGATTTGCTCCAGCTAAAGCATCTGAATAAGGAGCAATTGTACCTTCACCCTCCAGGCGTTGCCAATCCAGGTCCTCAAACGGGCCCAGACCTGCCAACTATATAGAGGGGTAGAGCACAACAACTCCAACTTGCAAGTGACAAGCTGGCAACGAGCATCTACAATGTATGCTCATTTCTTACTTGAATCCCAAACAGCTTGAATCCGAGGGATGCAAGGGTCTGAATCATTTCTTGGGAACATTCTCAATAATGAGGTCAAACCAACCATATCCAAAGACCTCGCCACCTCACCAAAGACTTGATGGACAAACTGCTGCACCACGAGGGAACAACACCTGGTATTCAGATCGGCTTGAATATCCATCAGGTCTGGGCACTCCAGAAACATAGAACTGAAAAGCCTTCACTCCCTGATGCACCGGGCTCCACCACCAAGGCCCTGCAAGGCCCAACCCGTCCTCTTTCAAGTCACGGTGGACATATCTCTTCTGATGCATGAAGTCGACGCCCTCCGACCCGGAACCGGTGCTGGCGAGGGCGACGCCCTTCCGGCCCCATCTGGACAGAAAAGTTATATGAGATTATGACGATAATTATGATATATGCTTGCCTGTCCGGAAGATGATACTGTTAAGACGCTTAAGCTCTAGAGGTTTAGTAGTAAATCCCTTATTAACCAAAGAGGCGATATGATTAAGGGTCTATGTCTAAGAGTCAGAGTATACCAAAAGGAAAGAATAGCATAAAAAATAAAACCTTGATAATCCTGTTCCTCCTCCAGATCAACCAATACATCCAGTGGATCTGGGGCCCCCGAAGGTACCGGATGGATTTCGGAATGCTTTTTATCAATGGTGACCGCTGAAGTGTGGCCCGGTGTGCAAGCCACTGAAATGGTCACCAAACACCAGATCTTGACAGGCTTAGATGGCATTTTGTTAGATCTGGGATACCCCCAATGTCTCCCTCTTTTAATACGCACCCAAGCGAGTGATCACATTCGCTTGTGAGTCTAGCGAGTCTTGCTGGGCCTCACAGGGTGGTGTTAACATGACCAAACTCTGCGGAGTCGTTCCAGCGAAACAGAGTCACTCAGTTCTACCAGTTTCTTATAGGTGGAACCCCCGGCCTGGATTGAAGTTCACGGCTAAACATATAACATATACAGTATGTCGTGTGACAGCAAATCAAAGGTTCCTTGGAGCAGAGGTCATCAACCTTCCCAAAGATCTGGCCGTTCTTTCCCGCACCTGAAGGATCTGCGCAAAGTACCAGGCAGCTCTCGCCTCCGAGGGTGACTTCTGCGAACTCATCCCCGCGCAGTGCCGTGCGAGTGTAAATGGATCCCACCCATCGCACGTCATTAGAAACCTTGAACAGTGGATGCCAAGCGGCCTCTATACCAAGGAACCAGGGCTTGGTTCGGTCTATGGTTTTTGTCTTTGGAATCACCGGTTACCAGCAATCGTGGTAACTGGATCACTGGGTTGTGATTCAAGGAGCAGCAAACAAGGACTATCATGCTGGCATGGCTTGATCGAAAAGATTCAGTTGGATGGACGGGAACCCCAAGGGTGTGATTTCAAAGTAACTTCAGCAGGTGAATTTGCAAGTGATACCCACCGACTCAGAATTGCGAAGTGGAAAATGGTCTTTGGGAAGAGCAGATTCCTCTACAAGTACAAAGAGGGTGCAGTGACTCCAGTGGTTTCCACCTCCATGGAGTCGGAGTGATACTTGATGAAAACAACATGCCTTCAACGACCCCATCCTTTCGTTGACCACTCGGGCGAAGACGTGGGAGCGCCTCAGAGAGACGGTTCTCCGGCTGCTGGGCGCACAAGTCCCTTAAACTCCCACCGGCGCAGTGCTCCAAGAGCATGTAGAGGTACCTCGAGGGCTTGGCCCGCTTGGCTCTGTGGTTTTCTTGCAAAGAGAATATACCAGGACCCGACTTCACAGGTCACGACCTGCAACGTTTATGTCTACAAAAGCCATCAAAAGCCTCCAGACTCCAGAGGGGACCTGTTGGAGGGTGCTGGTATATAACCACGCATATAATATCTGAAACATGTTGATGTCAATCTATAAGTGGTGAACCTCTGTTGCATATCCCAGCCACTGAAGATCCACAAGCAAGATTTGCAAGGCTGCGGCAGAAGAGCTTGGAAAGACGAGTGCCTTGGGACCTGGGGTACTCGCCAGTTGGAGTGGTTTCTTGGGACCCTGGCCTCACCTTTGTTTGGCCATCCGATTCCTGCCAGACTTGAAATCTCCACGTAAAGGGTGGCCAAGTTGGACCCTCTGGCTGCTTTGTCAACTCCCGCGCTGGAGGCTTTGGCTGCTACCCACTTTGGTGGCCTGAAATGGCCTGAGCATGTGATTCACTAAACTTCCTCCATCGATTTCCCTGAGTCCCGCACCCTTTTCACCGCAAAACAAGGGGCGAAGATCCGGGCACGCGCCCGAGCAGCGGAAAAATCAAGGATTGAGACTCAATCCATCGTGTTCAGGTAACTTCTCATGGACGTTCTTGTCCCAAATCCGTCCAACTTGACTGGGGATCTCAAACCCATACACTCCCTAGAATCATCGTAGAAATGCAAGACCGCCTGTGTGTAGAGGAGTTAATCGTCGTCCTGTTGGGGCGATGCCATAACTATAGGACTGATGTGAAGGCTAAATGGAGGGTGTGTGGAGAAAGTGGGTCAGCAAAACTTGTTTATACGAAGTTAGTGCATCAAAATACTTTCCGCAAAGTTCTGCAAAGGTTTCTGGCCATGGGTGTTTGTTGGGTTATATAGTTTTCCTACTGGCCCACCATTTCACAAACATCCAAGAATAGCCATGGGTTGCACGAATGTCTTGGGCCTTCCACAAGATTAGTAGAATAGGTGTTCAGCAGCAGCTACTGAGGGATACAACCGAAGAAGCCAGCCAAAACGCATGGGTTGTCTGATTTATGTTGCCCTGCAAGCCTGGTACATGTCATTGAATACATGTCATTATTCCCTCTCTCTCTCTGCCATAATCCAATCAGAATGACAAAGCATCCGCAACTGGGAACTGGGATTGCTGTAAGCTTCGTGCTAGGTATATATGTTTAATGTATCAACATGCCTCCCAGCAGCTATGTCTCCTCGCAAATCCCAAATGAGAACCCTTGAGGAGAAGGCAGTTGTCCATACAACTTGCTGTGTATCGTTAAAAAATGCAAATGCCTCTGCATCAGCAAGACAAACTTGGGTCAAAGCCAAACCCTCAAAACCGTGCTCGGTTGACTGTGTCTGATAGCTCATTGCGTTCATGTCAGCGCAGGGGAGTTAGACCATGGCCCCTCTTGCACCATTGTATATAAGACAAGTGTTGTTGTGGAAGAAAAGAAAGACAAAACACGGATACCAGGACCATCCAGTGGGTGTCCTGGCTGGACTACCCAGCCCACTACCTGTCTGGATCTACCCAGCCAGGCCCAGCCAGGGTGGTCCAGGTATTCCGTTCTGAGTCTCGAGCCTCTGGTCAACCGACCCGTCTCGGCCGCTGCTCCAGGGACGCTGAGAAGCGATCCGGAGCCCGGTCCAACCAAACGGTCCGGACGCAGGTGAACTCCCAGCACAGATGAGTCGGGTGACTCCAACTGGCTGAACTCCCACATCTTTGCTGATCATCAGGATGACCAATAAAATCGAACAAACATCATAGAGCTTTTTCTCGCAGGTGTAGACGTAGAGGCACAGGTGCGGCCATTGTTTTGTGCATTCCAGAACGCTTGTAACGTGTCACTGTGTCACCCGAGCGAGAATCATGCCCGCTACTGCGCCCGCAACCGCGATGGATGCAGTGCGTCAGGAGAGACGGAGCCTCAAGCGCTGACGGGGTCTGCTGAGTCAATTTCTAATCACAAATCCCGCGTCTGAAGGCCCAGCTTCGCACTTGCATTCAAAGGTTTCTCTTGGGAGCAAGTGCTGCACTGAACTGCAGTAAAGGTTGTGAGCCAGTTGTTGTTTCTTGCTTATTATTGGCAATAGAACAGCCAATGATAACCAACGCATGAATCTTCAAAAGGACCTGCGGTTTTCTAAGATGTCCCAGTCAAAACAACATCGAGACCTCACGCTTTGCACTGACTTGAAGTAGACCTCGCGTCCATCTAGTTTAGGTCAACATATATTATACCCTATACTTCCTAGATCTCACACATGAACACCCTTCTCCAAACAGCGCATCCGTCGCGTCGGCACCTCCGCTGGGCGCCACGGCAGACCGACCTCCTGTGGCATGGAACCATCGAAGGGATCGGTCTCGTCAGCGGCCGCCCAAGTGGGCACCGGCATGGCCTGAAGCAGCGACGGCGTCTGTCTGCGGCGTCTCTATTGTATAAAGGAAATGGTTTTCTTGGTGATTACTAGTTACTAGTAGCGATGCACTTGTTACTAGTAGCTTCTTGTTCCTAGTAGTAATGCCAGGAGCTACTAGTAGCTTCTTGTTATATATGCTCCTTTGGACTTGACAATACCTTTCAAACTTGCACTCATGTAAGTTGAGCTCAGGGACTTTGAGAGGACCTTCAGCAGTGTCGAGAGCTAAAGCCCGCTGCACTTGTCGTTGCAGGTACATCAAAGTAGTGATGGTACACATATATCATATATGGTGATGACAACATTGCGCAATGTGGAACCATCATTAAACGGTTTAGTTGAGCAAGCACCACAAAGAACGAACGCATGTGGGAACATAACACAGGACACACATAGATGTTGTGTTTTTTGTTCAATGGATGTGTCATGTCAATCAAGTCCTTTTCTCATCTTTTGCTTTGATTCTCGACTGTTCTCAATCTTAAAACCCAAGATCTTGGACTTTAAACTGCTTGTCTTGATCGTATCCTGTTCTTTAAACTCTTTGATCTATATACAGTTTTCTGTTGCCACAGATCTAGGACTTGCCGATTCAACCATCCAGCATCTTGTTTGCAAGATATCAGCCTCTTATCAGCGCCCCTCGACGGCTCCATCACCACATCTATTTGGAAACGCCCTTTTGGGGTCATGTAAAAAACATTTTTTCAAGAAGGTCCTGGATTCCGAGGGCATTGTTGTGAGGACACCATAACTTGAAGACCAAACGCGCAAGGGAGGAACACTGAACACCCACCAACAAAGACAAACAAAATCCAGGTCAAAGCAGAATTGGCCAGAAATGTTCACCCCAAGGCTGAATTGTTCTCAAGCATTCGTCAAATAAAGACTAGAAATGGCCAATGTTCACCCTCTCCCGGCAGGTTCCAACCCAGCCTTTCCGTCTGTTTGGCCATCCAAGCAAACCCTTGCCTGGAAGTAGGGCGGCTTTGCACCCGCCAGGCTCAAACCTGAGGGATTTCCAGTCCCTGGATGGTTGTAGCTGCAGCATGCCGCAGCTGGGTCTCCAGGAAACGGTTTCAGCTGAGTTGTTCCAAGCTGGTGATGAATCTGACATTGCACTCCGGGAAAGACTAAGAACAAACCCACCCCTGCCGGCAAAAACAAACGGGTGACTACGTGTGCTAGTTGGGAGTACATGTTTGTTGGTAGATGGCGCCTTCTTACAACCCTTTTGTTAAGATAGGGTCCTTGAAAGTGTATCCCACTTAGAGAAAAAGTTTCAAGTCACAAAAACAGGGAAAACAAATTCAGAAGCCTCCCCCATCCTTGCCACACGCACTCGAAAACAAGCCGCCCAACAGTGCTTGACACTCTTGTGGGACACTTTTGTAGGACACTCTTGTTGGATGCTCTTGCAGAACACTCTTGTAACGTGGGGCACTCTGTTGTCTCTTGCGGCACAGTCTTGTGCGACACTCTCGTGGGACACTTTTGTAGGACACAAAGTGAAGCAGGAAGCCTCATCAGAGCGATCACATCAAGCAGCTCTGCCAAGCAGTTTTGCAATCCCGGCCCCTCAAAAACCACAGCCGCCGACATGCCAATCCCAATGTCACAGCGACATTCTCCTCCACCAAACGTCACAACTTCCCAATTCCCTGCGCATGCCACAAAAAGTTAACTTCGACACCTTCAACATGCATAAAGCACTGCGCCTGCCACGAAATGTTTACTAAATACATCGCATTTCATTCAGCACAATTTGCAACACACCACCTGTTTGGAATTGGGCACTCCTAAAGTTAAGCTGGAACCCTTTGCTACGCATTTGGAAATAACAAATACAAAAGAACCACACATCAAGGTATGAACCTCTTTTCTGATGTATGTGTCTAAAACCAGGAAAGCATGCCTACAGGGGCATGAACAAACATCTACCGAGTCCCAGACTGTGATCAACAAATGCTTGGACCAAAACAACAAAGAACTCAACATGACCGTAGCTTTTGAACTCAAGTTGTTATTGAGTTTGACATGCCATGTTTTCTGCATGTTCCAGAAATCAGAAACAATGTGTTTTTGACCTGGCTTTGGCCTCAGGACTCAGGACCTCGCAAAGATCAATCAAAGAGGGCAAAAAATATCAGTCACATGATAAACATCAGAATCTATTCTGACGGCAATACTGTGTGATGTCATCAAAATACTTACTTTTTCCAAGCCACGCTTACAAGACTAACCCAACAACACCCCCCAATAAAAGGAAAACCCATGCAAGACGCATGTTTCCATTTGTCTGCATTTTGTGAATGCAAAGCACCATATTGGGAACGTACGGGAAAGTTGTCTTGCAATGTTATTCTATTATAGTCACATAATTGTAATTCTATTTAAATGCATTCTTCGGCAAGACAGGGGAAAATCACTCAGGAAAAATACACACAGAACTGAAAAAAACTCCTCAAATCAAGAACAAATCTAAACAAATACTCTTGAGGCCAAAGCCAGGTCAATATCACTTTGTTTCTGAAACATGCACAAAAAACTGGCATGTCAAACTCAATAACTTGAGTTCAAAAGCTACGGTCATGTTGAGTTCTTTGTTGTTTTTGTCCAAGCATTTGTTGATCACAGTCTGGGACTCGGTAGATGTTTGTTCATGCCCCTGTAGGCAGTGTGTTCTTGATTCAAACATATATGTATACATGACAAACAGGACATCCAAAATATAAGAACTATATTTGAGAACAGCACTTGCTTGCTGCCGTGAAGTGCCCTTGACATGTTTGTTGTGTTTTTTGATGGTATGTTATGACTTGCGTTGGTCCTTTTTAGTGATTATTATGTTTGTTTGTTTGAACCTGAATGAAACTGTTGGTTCATGATCTGTTGATGTCCAGTCATCTCAAAATTTAGAATGGGCCGAATCAAGGTTGACCTGCCTTTTCACCAATTGAACATTACATGATAGTGTAATATACAATATGCAACCTCTCAATGACGGTATCATATTACTCTTTACAATGATAAGTGAGTAATTCAAAATTGAAAACGAAACAAAACAAAACACTTAAGTTACTTAAGGAATCTTAAGGATATTTAAGGTGTCTTAAGGTAACCCATCGAATCTGCTATGTAGCCACGGGGCTGTCTTTCCAGTACTACTCGATTTTACTTGTGCAATACGTGCTTCTAGGATATCTGTTCAATAGTTCCATGTTGTTCAAAGCGTCTTGAAAGTCTCCAAACAACGCTTCATGTCCACAGAACTGTCCCCCTCTCGCAGGGAGAACGTGAAGCTGCCACTGATATACTGACTTTTGGGGGGAATCCCGTGAGGGGCAGCTTCAGCAGCTTCGTGACCCCGCGAGAAGAATCGCGGATCAGTTTTTCGTTTGGGTCAATTTGGTTGGTGTTCCACCGAAACATGAAGAGAATAGATAGCCTTGGGAGGGTCCACTTTACCAGTTGGAAACGGAGCTCCAGGTTTTGCCCCAGAACAAAGCGGAGGAATCTGACGGTGGCTCGAATCGGATTTGGCTGTGGGTCATGATGTCATGGCGCCAAACCTTGGTTGACCCTGGGAGGTCAAGCTACGTGGACTGGTCGAGCTTCGGGTTGTGACCCATCCCCAATTCTTGGGCTCCGGATCTGGGGCGGACTCTGAGTTTTGGACCAAGCACTGAGTCCAACTCATCCAAGAAGTCCTGAGGGCTGCGATCCGCTTTTGGCCGCGTGGCGTATCATGTGCAAAACGCAAAAAATCATGTGCCACATTGACAAAACAACAGTTAGCGAGTAAAGATTGAAGATGACACCACCGAACCCTATAGCTCTTTAATTTGTGTCGAATGCTTCGCGATCAGCTAGGCCAAAGGCATTTCGTCCCTGGCGATTGGCGTCCGTGACCACAATGCGAGTCATGGGATATGAGAGCAATGCCTGAGCCGAAGCGGTTGGTGTGCCACATCCCGGTTGAGGTGTGGTGGGGGGCCTTGGGCCTAGTGATTTCAACACTGTGCTTCGGGGACCTGGAAACTGTGAGCAGAAAGCTACTCAGATTCCTGAGTTGCCTGCTTTATTTGACCGGTTGATGTTTGGATTAGCCGGGAGACATTTGGTTAAAGGGTGTTGTTCGGATCGGATTCATAGGATCGGAATCTAATTGGTCAGATCGGATTCATAGGATCGGAATCTGATTGGTCAGATCGGAATCGCAGGAATGACGGGCGCGTGCTAGGCAACACCATCCCGACCATCCCGACCGTCATCCTCACTGATCTCACGCAGGTCTCATCCATCCCGACCATCCCGACCATCATCCTCACTGTTGTCACGCAGGTCTCATCCATCCCGACCGTCCCGACCGTCATCCTCACTGTTGTCACGCAGGTCATCCATCCCGACCATCCCGCCCAAGCGTCTTGTCGACGCTGATCCCTAACCAACGCTGATTCGGCGAAGTCGTATAAAAACTATTCTTACTGTCGTTCTAATTGGCTGTGCACGGACCGTCCCGATCATCCCGACCGTCCCGACCATCCCGACCAAGCGTCTTGTCGACGCTTATCCCTAACTAACGCTGATTCGGCGAAGTCGAATATATAAACTATTCCTACATATATTCCTACCGTCGTTATAGCTGGTTGTGCACCGACCGTCCCGACCATCCCGACCGTCCCGCTAGAATCTGATCCTACGACGCTGATCCGGCCAATTAGAATCTGATCCCAAACGCTGATCCCTGACGCTGATCCGGCGAAGTCGAATCTGATCCGGTAATTACCCTTGGTTAAAGTATCCGACGAAGCACATGGCGTATGGACGTGCAACCTGTCCTTTTGACCCACTGAAGTCAGGGCCAGCCCAAACTCATATTAAGTCAGATTGCTGGATCTACTCAGTGAGCACAACTGCACCCTGCCAAACCCCATCCAAGTGCCCAAGCTAATGGGAGGGAAGAAGTGAGTCATCGATGCGAAGGGCACACTGCGACACTACAGAAATGATTTCGGTCTATCAGAGTTGCCCTTGTGCAAGCGCGAATTAAGTGTTTTTTCCATCACCGCCCATGGCCATCGGGCAAGTAGGACTTGCCCAGGGCTGCAATGGAACGGGCTTGTCGGTATCTCACAAAACGTTTGCTCTGTTCTTCACATGACTCTTGCTAGCAAGAAACCTCAGCTTCCTCGGCCTCTTGGGGCTGTGGTCCGTTGGATCACGACGTTGGATCATGACAGTCGACCCAAAGGTCGCTGAAGGGACGGAAAGCTGAATACAGCTGGACGTCCCCAGATGTCCCGGTGGTTCACTCAGAAGCGGTGGATGGGAAGGTGGAAGGATGTGGATGGGATTCGACGAAGCGAAACAAGGATAACAAGGGATCATCAAGGATCAAGAATCATCAGGATTCTGGGCATTTCTGGGCTTCCTGGTCACCAGTCTTCCCAGTCTTCACTAAAAGATCTACAGTAGCTGCTCAGTCTTCACCAGGACTTCCTCTCGCCCCTCGACCAAGGTCCCATGCTCGCCCAATGAGCAGGCCGATGGCACGAGCAACAGCAGACCTGGACGGGTCCAGCGATCTTGAGCATCGTAATCACCGGGGGTTCAGGTGGCGATAGGATGCGGATGCTTTTGGTGGGTATTTTATGGTATTTTTGGTAAGAACATTGAGTGATACATGGCATACCACTTGGCATACCCTTCATCCATCCAGTGTGACTTTCAATGCACTGCAATGGGATTCCACACCCGTGTGGTTGTACTTTGAGACTTTGAGACCTCAGGTGGCACACAGCCATCCTTTAAGAACATGCAATTCACCAACCAACGTCTGATATCTAGAACTCTTCTTGCTTCCTGTATCACCCATTGGTGAATTAAAACCAATGTGATATCGTGATCTTAGTGATCTTCAAGAAGAGGCACCAACATCAACCTCCTGTCCAACTACCCAACTCCATACGGTGCAAGCTACGGATGTCCAATTGGTTCTTGGTTCTCTGAGAACTTGCTTTTTCGAACTTGAATTGGGATCCTGTGAGTTCCACGTTTCCCGGCTGGCAAATTGGATCACAACTCAGCAGCGTTTCCCGGCGCTTGCACGTTTTAGAGTGGTTCTTTAATTACCCAATTAAATTATATACTGTAATTTGAATCCCAGCTCCCACTGTACATTAACCGATTAACCTTGGCCAGGTGCACCCCCAAACTGTTCCACTCCGCCGTACCAGTGGAAGGCTTGAATCAGTGTCACCTGATCTGATTCTCAGTTCCAAGAAGAGCGAATCAAATTCTGGAGCTAATCTTTGCATCAAAGATCGAAATCAGCTTTGCCAACGCCCGCATCGGAGTTTATCTTCTGTGACTGCTGACGGTCAAGAAGTTTTTACAGGCTTTTGTCAACCAACTCAGCAACGCCTTCATGTTTCCAAGCCACCCCCGCTCACGCTCAAACATGCAACGCACGTCCCTACCATCCCGCTCGCCGCAAGCATCGAGTTTGCTTGTACCATCTTGTACCTAAGAGCCGTCTGAGAATGCTCACTTTTCTGACCTCCCACAACCAAATCAGGCTTGCATCCAGGACGTGATAAGCCTATAGTGCGCCGCCCCAATCATCTCAACCAATCACCCCTAGACCCCCTCGCCGACTCTTCCGACGCCTCAAAACCTCAGGGCAAGATCAAATGCACAGCCCCATCCATTTCAGGTGCCCGGCGCCACGACTTCCCCGCATGGAGGTGCCTGCAACCTCCAGGCGCTCGCTTCGCCAGGTACGCACCATTCAAACCACCAGACGTTCTCCGTTCGATGTTCGAATACACTGGCTGACGCATGACCCAAATCTGCATGCCTCGGCCTCGACCCAATCTGCATGCCTCGAACTCTGAACTTCATTCCACTGGCTCTGTGCAACGGCTTTATGACACAAGCGGCCTCAGGCATCACTGCAGTTCAGCGAAATGTGCTAGATCACTCGATCCTGGTCAAAGTACCAACCATCCTAACCACCCAGCATCACTCACTCACCACAAGTACAGCCCGCCACCATCCCGGTCCTCCCAAGAATTCCGCGCACCAACATCCTGCTTGCTTGCTTCTAAGCGAGGTCCGATGTAAAGCGAGGTCTCAGCACCCTGATTGTTGAAGCGTGACGCCGATTCGGGCAGCTCGACGCCCATTCAGCACGCCATTGTTTCCAAACGTTGATTTGCTACACGCGACTGACTCGGCATGAACATGATGCACATTTAAGACGTGTGACCAAACGACTGCTGCGTCGTCTGAAGTAACGGTGGACCATCCGGTCTTCCGCTGCCGCGTGGCGCCGGCGGCCGCCACGCGCCGGGGGACCCGAGCTTGTAAAGGCAGTCGCTGCAAACGATCACATCGAAGCGTTGAACCTCGGCAGTCGCTGCGTGGACCTGAGGTCCCACACCGTGGTTCGGAGGAAGGGGGCGTTGAAACGATGGTTTGAGTTTTAGACCCTCAATGTTGGTGCCTTTGAGTGTTCCTTAAAAAGGACATACAAGGACTATGAGTCTCAAAGTAGTGATTTTACCTAGCCCATACTTCTCCCCAAGAAATGAGCTGGTTGTTCACACGTGCTTTGTGGTCTCAAGCGTGTTTTCAGAAGATTCAACAGGCTGTCTTGTCGAATTGGGGTCATGTTCCATTTATTGAAAAGGCACTGACGAAATGACATGTGCAATCCTGATTTGCCACACACTCTCGCGTTCTTGAGCTTTATTGACACCCCAGGGCTCTGACCGCTTTCTTCTTCTTGTTGCATCTTTAATTTCAGGGAGGCTTCCCTACCCCTACTATTCGATAACCCCGATAGGTGGGTGCATGTCTTTGACCCCTCTGCCGAGTGCAAACGTCGAAACCAAAAACCAGCGCCGCGAGGCATCGGAGGGGCAAGTGCTGGAAGATCTGACGAAGCGCCGCTGGTGCCGTCCGAAGCGAACCGTTCGGAAGCGGACGAACGGAACGCCTGGGAGTCTCCCGTTTAAACCCACATGGCTTTGGGTGGTGGGCTGGGGGCCCTAAATCACCCAGACTATGTGACCTTTTCTTTAGGGCCCTTGCATAGGGGTGTGATCATCATAGGGAGTATCCATTAACCACCCCTTCAGGGCCCTGGTTATTGGCTGTTGTTGAAAAATTGACTCGGAGAGTTTGTCACCAGGAAATTGGGTATGAGGACTGCAGCAAACCCCATCGTCGTGCTTTCGTCTCATTACAATGCCATTGTCTAGCAAGGAATTTCGTTTGAAAATGATCGAAGAGTCGTGTAGGCTATGGACATCTTCCAATTCCGCGACTGCGGGTTGCTATTTGAAACTTGATAGAGGTATCAGTTCTCGTGCTTCGAGGGGGCCTCAGTGTCAAACAATCTGAACAGGAGAAGGACGGCCCTTCTTTCGGACATCCTAATCGCACCAAAATGTCTACCGTTGTCTTTATGTCTCACTTGAAACAACATCAGCGCAACATCTTGGAAAAAAAATTGGAACTCAAAACATGGTTCTGTATATTTCTGCGTCTTCATGATTCGTTATGTGTGTTGTCAACGAGTTGTCCGCCCACGAACCAGCTGTGAGCAAGACAAGTTGAGGCGGGGAATGCTGGGATTCATTCACCTACTATTTGGATGCCTTTCTTGAGCATCCATGTGAAACTTCACATGATTTTACCGTAACCAACAGTCACTGGTCTAAATCTTTTGCCCCCCTTTGGTATATCGGTCAATCCATGCACCAACCTGAGGTTGACAGCTTATTCACAAAAAGCAAATAGCTAGTTTCCTTGGAGGCCATGATGCACTTCATCTACGTACAAAATGTTCAACATCCATACCCTACGCCCAAAGTGGATCGAAGTGGATCGATGAGACACGTCCAATGACCCTCTGGTGACCGAATGAGATCCAAATGAAACATATCCTCAAGCAACGAAACATTAACTTGTAACAGTTGAATTGAATTGAATTGATATGAATTGATCAATGATTCAATGATCTTCATGAAATCTTCTGGCTCAGAAGCTTCATCTGGGCCCGTGAACATGGACTAAGTATGACTAAGTAGCCCCTCATCCAACTGCTCTCCCTTCATGGCCCGTGGAAGCCTGGAAGTGCTGATCGCAGCGAGGACATCCAACTGGGCCAAGGAAGGTCCGAAACTTCGTTGACCGAACTGGGGAAGGTCAAGCTACATTGGTGTTGGGGCTCCAGGTTTTGACCCATCCGCAGTGTTGATGGGTGGGAAATTGATAGTCGAAGCGATTGGAGAGCAGAACATCTTACACAAACCTCTGACATCCTCTTCCCTGCGGCCTTTGACAATTCGCTGGCGACTCGTGTGTGCGTGAATGACGAATTGTCAATGACATGTTCTTGGCTTAAATACTCAAGAACGGTTTTGGATGTTTTGGCGGGAATGTTGCCCAACCCACACCAACCAATTGTCAAGGTACGCAAGCTGGCATGCTCAGATAGCAGGACGGTGGATAACTCACAAGAGGTTTCCACAACGTGCTCAAGCAAAGCACTAGGGTCTGCCGAATGGAATCTTGCAA